TATAATCACTCACGGATAAAACCTTGTTAAACATCCATCCATGAACCACACCTGGTGATTCAAAAGTCGGTAACGAGAGCTGCTTTTATACGAGCCATATTAGAAGGTGGAGATTTGATATCGAGTGTAAAGCTAAACACTATTAGCCACTTAGGGGGCGTTTGTTTAACCGGATTAAAGGGTACTGGACTGGACTAGACTAGACTGTAGTCTCTTGTTTGGTCTGGATAAGGATTAGGTTTAATGGGACTAAAGGGGACTTGCCCCGACTGAACGTTTCACTAAACGTTCTTAAGGAGACCCCTCGATTTCAAGCGGACTGCTAGTACCGTTCTCTCCCCCGCCGCTGATCCCTCGTCGTCTCCCTTCTCCTTCACTTCTCCCCTCTGATTCGCACCTTCGCCCACTCCTTTGGGCCTTCACTATCCCACCCAAAAGCCTAAACCCAGACCTCTATCAAAACTGAAAAAAAAATCCACTGATTCCCTTCATTTCTTCTTAGTTCAATTCACTATCTTTCTCAGCAAAATCGTCATGGTTGCAACCACCAGACCACCACCAGACAACCATTACTAGAAGCTCGCCGTCGATCTCCGCATTCACGCGCAACCCAGACGCAAGTCGGGACCGAAAGCGTACTGAATGCTCAAGCACCTGCGAATCCCCACATAAATTCAAAACAAAAAGGCAAAATCAGCAGAGAATCCTGAGATTTTTTGAGAAAATCAGAGGAGGCGCTACGTGGAGAGCTTGGATGAATCCTCCACGCGAATCTTCTGCATAAGGAAAAGAGGGAGAAGTTAGGGATAAAGTGGACGAAGGGAAAAAAAAGGAAAGGGGAGGGAGAGAGTTGCCGGAAGAAAATAGGGAGAAGTATGCAGAGAGAGGAAGAATATTCTAGAAAAATGGTGAAACAGAATAAAAAGAGGGAGATGAGAGGGAGAATGGCGAATGAAAAGAGGAATAGGCTAGATAGATAATTTTAGGAATAAATAAATAAAAAGATTTTGGCCCTTACAGAAGGATATATGATTCTAGAAACAAATAAAATGATAAATTAATAATAAAATATTAATAAATATAGATAAAATAATATAATATTTGAGTTAGATAATTATCCAACTTCTTAGTCCGACACTGTACCAAACGCTTCACTAAACTAGTTCAGCTTAATCTTGTCTAAGCCAGTCCAGCTTAATCCCTTAAGCTAATCTAGTCCGAGACGGTCCGGTGCAACAAACGCACCCTTAAAGTATAACACTTTTAGAAGTAATGAAAGAACAAGGATTGTTTGCTCTCCTACTTTTGGTGCCCTCTCGTGTCCTCTTGTTTTGTGTGGTCACAGTTAGTCACGTTAACATTTTATATTTTTTTTTATATAGATAATAAGACAAAAATGAATAGTAATACAAAATGTTGACGTGGCTTAATTGTGATCACACAAACAGAAGAGTACGGGAGGGCACCTGAAGTGGGAGGGCAGACAATCTTTATCTGTAATGAAATCCGCCACAATGTACGGAGGGCATGTAGGTAGAGAAAATTCAGTGTGTTGGGGGGTTTGAGTGATTAACTTTATGTTTGTCTATGTATCTTCCAACAATTATCAATTACTAGTCTATCTGATTGCACTCCATGTCGTATATAAATAAAGCTTTAATAGCTACCATAAAAGGAGAAATCTTAAATGTTATTTTTACAAATGATCATATATATGCAGGTTGTAATACTAATCATTGAAAAACCTTGTAAGCAAGGAGGCCTTGTAGATTTTTTTTCAACTGATGACACCAAGCGAAATAGATATAAAGAATAAATGTCGTACTCTATTTGTTACGTAACAATATTTATGTCATTGATTGTGTTATTGATTCAAGGGGAGTGTTTTTTTCAATCTTGTTGTTAAAAGAATTTTCATTGCATCTGTAATAACACAAAATGGAAAAAATTTGAGGACTCACCATAAAATAAATTAACAATATAAAAAATAAATAAAGAATAATCTAACTACTTATGAACATATATAATATTCATTTTCTTCTGACGTGAGATTTATACTCTCTGTACCGGCTTGTATTTCGATTACAAGAACATGTCTTCTCCTTGTCGTGTTTGAATGATTAAATATGGTCGGTGTGGTTGTTGACTGTAAATGGTTCTTCTTGACTTGGTCACTGTTTCCCGACATTGAAGCAGACACATTACAGACTACAAATGCTATATCATCTACTACTCATCAGATTATTTACTACCTACGGCTGACCCGTTTTGTTTGAAACTATCACCAGTAGCATACGTTGGAACTGTATGCATTAAACAAAAGCTGACTAGTAAGGAGTTCAAATTTTCTCCACTCATATAGGTTGTGATCTCCAATTTCATGACAATTGTCACTCACTTAGTCCAACTTAACAGTATCACTTCCTTATCTGTTGAATTTCTTCAAACGGTAATGCTAAAGAAACTAAATTTGTAGGTAAAATTTGATAAACTAATTACATGAAAGTTGATGACTGGATTATTACTTAAGCATTGATAAACGTGCTCATTCATATTAGTGATATATCATTTTGTTTACAAATTTTGTCTTTTTAGCATTAACTTTTGATCAAATTCATAGTCACACACGGAGCAGTCCTTTCATTACCCTCCATAGCTTTGCTGATATTGGGCACATCACCACCAGTCCACCATTCTCAATAACAATAATAAAGTCTTATCTCACTAAGTGAGGTCGGCTATATAAATTCTAGACCACTATTACGCTCGATTTTGTGCTATATCTTCCATTAGATCCAAATAGTCAAAGTCCTTTCTTAGAGTTTCTTTCCAAGTATTTATGTCTTTCTCTACCCTTTTGACCCTGAGTTTCAGTCTCGTAATCACATCTTCTAACTGGAGCGTCTGTAGGTCTTTATTTCACATGTTCAAACCCCCTTAACCGATTTTTTTTCATCTTATTTTCAATCTCAGCCACTCCTAATTCCCCCTTGTTACTAATTTTGCCCTTTCTGATGTGCCCCCACATTCAATGAAGCAGTCTCATCTCTTTTTCAATTATTTTATATACCGACTAATTCTTCAAGGTCCAACATTTTGTGCCATAAAGTATCGCTGACATAAATGAAAAAGAATAGAAAAGCTTGAGGAGTGAGGGGAAATACCAAATTCATGGTTTAGGTAGAAAGTTATAGGAGGTGGGAATCAGAAAAATTTTGCCAAGTATGTGGACTTTTCTAAGAAATAATCATAAGGGAGAAGGAGAGAGAGAGAGGAGGAGGAAGATGAGAGGGGTGGTGATGGTGATGAGGTGGTGGTGGTTAGTATTGGGTGGGTGGGGGCGGTTTTTTATTTTATTTTATTTGAATAAACAATATAATCTACACTAAAAGAAGGAGTGGCCTAGTCTCACAATGATCTAGCAATAACGTGATTCAAATTCTCTTTTGGTGAGAACTGAACTTAAAACCTTTCACTTATAAGGGAGGATAAATACCAATAATGTGGTTCAAATTCATTTTTTATGATTTTTTTTTGGAAAAATTTATTTAAACCCAACTATCTTATCTTCAAGCCCAACTTACATATTTTTGCCATTAAAATCTCCATTTTGCCCCGACGATATTTAGAAAGTAAAAATAAATTAAAAGAACATGAACCCACATATCTACTCACCACTTTTTGGTGTCTTCTTCGCTAACGTCGGCGTCTCTTAACCACCTCCTCTTTCGTACTATCTCCCTCCTCATTTGTCCTTCTCCCTCTTCTATTTCTCACGCTCTTCAATCATAATGCCGACATCGGAGGCCTACAAGCATAGTCGAAGCTACGTGAGGGCAAGGAGTGGCGGCCGCCCTTCCATTCGCCAGAAAACATGCCTAGGCCACTTTGATTGAAGCTTGCACAGGTGGTGTGTCGTGGTAGTCCTTGGCTGAGAATGAGCTCCTTCCTGCAACTTCCATGTCAGGGCATTTGACATACGTCGTCGAGTCCGTACAAATAGAGACCAAAAGTCGTATGTCGATGAGTGTGGTGCTTTTGCTGCCGTTCAACTACTTGAAGCTACGTTTCCCGCAACTCATTCAAACAGTCGAAGATGTGAAGATCAAGAGTAACAAGTAGAAGCGCAGTGCTTGATAATGCAGAGGAGAAGCAGATTGAGAAAACCCAGGTGTAGAACCTCCTCTCTAGTTACAAGTTTCCGAGTGGTACAGAGCCAGCAATGCGGAGAACCACAAATGTATATGGCCGAGAAGGGATGATGGAGTCACCGACAAGGAAGGTGTTGAGCCGAAGAGGGATCATTTATCTTGTATGGACAGTTCGAAGTCAAAACTTGTGGAAACTGAATGGTGTGCCATATAATGCGGTTGTGATGCTAAAAGAATTTGAATTGAAGTTGCCATGGAGAACCGCTGGTGAAGCTTTCGTGGGGTTTGAGGTAGAAAAGAATCACTGGGCGTGGAAAAAGATTTCAGTTTTGTTTATTTCTTTTACCACTTTTAATCAGAGGGTGAATTAGGAATCTTAAGAAAATATTTTTTTGTATTGGGTGTAGAAAAATGTTGAATGGGTTCCAATAAAATTTTCCCTTTTCTTTTTAGAGTTTTATTTTTTATTTAGAGATAGTATCGTTGTTAAAGTAAGAGTTAATAAATGAAGAGTTGTCACGAAATAGATAATACTTCGCTACTTAATAATGAGTATTTCATACACTTAGGTACTTCATTTATTATGAATGGACATGTGTCAAAAATGAGTTTATAATATATTCACCAATAAGTACCTAAGTGTTCTCATCACGAAATTAAAAAGGCTACAAAGAGACTACAAGTCTACAACCCTTCTTTTAAGTGCAGAAGATTTAAACTCCATCTTTTTACTGGTTCTTATTCAAAAATCAAAACTGAAGGTATTGGATAGAGTTGTACATAATTCAGTACAAGCCCACCTGTATGGAGATAGATTCCGTGTGGGCCACCACTACGCGGACTACATCCCAAAGAAGTCGCACAAATTTCCCAGAACCGTAGAATATTATGATCCTCCCTTGCCTTTACCAATTACCGCCTATAAATACAACACTCTCCTCCACTCTCTCCCTCGCTGAAAGAATCAACGCCGCCAGCCACCACCGCCTTAGCAAGCATTGCGCATCAAACTCAGAACACAGAAGGTAAGTATGTCTCTCAGATCTCAGATCCTTTCTTTTACCTCCATTTATTTTGTTTGATTAGATCTTACAAAAGCGTTTTTATTTTATTTGCATATGTTGATCTTTTTCTGCGTTTGTCTATGTCAATTTTGGTTTACCGTGTTCTGGGTGTTTATCAATTGAATTGCTCTAACTCCCAAATATCTTGGAATTCATGTTTATTCAATTGCCTGTGGAATAATCAGATAAGGGTTTTCTTTGATTGCTCTTTGGTTAGCAATAGAGGATCTGGAGGGTAACAAATTGTTGCTGCTAGGAGGATTGTGGGGCTGGCTTTTCAATACACAGTGTTCGAATTTAGAACTTGATTCAGTTTCTTAATTTGGTTTTATATCCTGTTTTGATTAGAATCCTAATTTCATTCTATTTCCGGGGTAGGAAGTAGAAGAAGCCTATTGTACCTTATTAGTATTATTATTCCGAAGGGTCTTTTGGTGCACGGCTATTGAAGTTAGACTCTGTTCGAAAGAGTAAGTGTATAAGTGAATGAAGCCTTCTTTATAGGTGAGAACCTTTGTAATGTTCGAGGTGTACAAAATTCTTAATCAGTTAGAAAATAAATAGAGGAATTTTAACTTGAAATAACTATTTTGGAAGAATTAGACAAGTGATATGAAAATCTATAACTAGTTGTGCATATGTGTGAACAAATACTTGACATACTTTGAAACACTAGAACGCAACAAACAGAAGCAATGGCCATGAGTTTTAGTGCTACATTCCATCATATCATAACTCATGCTTTTGTGAGAGTAACATTATCATATCTTTCTTAGTTACCGTTAACCATATTATTTTGATTTTCCTCTTTCCCTGGCACCAACCTCATTATTGATTAGGTCAGTTTTGATGCATCTATTGGGGCACTTATTGGTCTTTGTTAAACGACCACCGTGATAAGTTCTCTCTCATTTTGTGTTCAACTGGTGCTACTTCAATTTTTTCTCTCTGAGATCATCCAAATTGTTTCTCTTCCCCCAGACACCTCCATATAAACATCCTACTTCTGGCACATTTGTTTTAGGGTATTGTTGGTGGCACTCCGAAAATTTCATTGGGCACTCCTCATAAGTGTATTTTTCTTTCTAAATAAGAAATATAGAACGTTTGGAGTGCACATTGAGATTTTGGGAGTGCGCTTTATGATGTTTTATTTTCTAACTGCCTAGACACATTATTTTCCATATAGCATATGTGTTGGTTTTAATATCGTTTGACCAATTTTTTCTACGGTTTTGGTTTTAAAATGATGAGGCAATGGAAATCAAGGATCGTATTCTTTAATTGCACAATTTTCACCAAAGTTGGAGGGAGAGGGGGTGGGGTGTGTGTGTTGATGTAGATAGGGTGTGTTTTGTGTTTGATTCTGCTTGTGACCAAAAAGTAATTATAGATCATTAAGTTTCAGTTTCCTTAAGAATGCCTTGTGACTTAAAGTTTCTATCACCCCACGCTCATGGCAATCACAGGCCACACTGACCTTATGTCGTCCTGCATCTTTTAATCTCACAGTTGTCAACACTATTAATTGAGTTCCTTCATGTGACATTTAAGCTAAAGCGATAACCTCTTGGTCAACAGTTAGCATTGCTGCAAATGATGAGTTTGATACCTTGGCCCTTTGTGTGGCTTATCGTTGTATCAAAAAGCACTACTAGAAGATAAGAACTGGTTATGTACTGCATTTAATAATAATACTCCAAGTGTTTGTCTAGAGGAGGAACAAAAACAATGTAATTCTATTAAGTTATCATCAAGATTAGAGTCAATGGTATAGGAGCTATGAACTGAACCGTACTGACTTCTTGTGAAGGACAGATATTATTTTCTCTTAGTGTTTCATTTAGCCAGCTAACATTTTCTACTTTGACTGTTTCGTGGTCCTTCAATTATGTTGAACTATTATGCTAGCCCTATTCATGTGCTTCTCTGAGTGTTATATTAAGATTTCGCTATTTCATTTAGTTTACTCCTTGTAGATGCATCAAAGGATGATGATGCTTTTCATTTGTATATTTTTCCCTTGTAATAAATTGAAAGGAATGGGCCTCTGTTGGACCTGCGTTACCTGGACCCTTTACTTCATGCATGCATATTCATGCAACTAAGACATGACTGTAATAAAGGTGTAGTGTAGCTACCAGATGATCCAAATAAGTACGAGATTTTAAGAAATGAACAAATATCATACATGGTCATGTACGCACATTCAATGTTCATAACTGAGTTCATATAACAAGCTTGGCCTTTAGATTCAAAATTAATGTTTTGAAAGAGAAATCAAAGTGCAAGGCGTATGACTGTTGAAACTTAACTTGATTAACCCTTAGGTGAGGTCTGGCAACATTATGGGTTATGTATTTGTAGTTACCGAGTGAACTTACGGACGTATTTGACCAAACCTTCAGAGTAATAGTTCTAACTTAGTTTTGTTGTGAGTGCTCACACACATAAGATGAGAGAAAATCGGTTAAGATGGTTTGGACATGTGAAACGAAGGCCTACAGGTGCTCTGGTTAGAAGATGTGATTGTGAGACAAAGGCTCAGGGCCAAAGGGGTTGAGGAAGACCTAGGAAGACTTGGAAAGAGACTCTAAGAAAAGACTTGGACTACTTGGATAAAATGGAAGACATGCACAAAATTGAGCGTGTTGGCGTTCTAGGATTCATATAGCCGACCCGATATAGTGGGATAAGGCTTTGTTGTTGTTGCTCACACACATAAAGAAGCATTGTGCTGAATCAATGCGTAGTTTTGACACTCTATTCTACGTTGCTTGTTTGTTACTTTGTGATTGCATGTCCTTACCATAATCTTTACAACATGAGAACAATACTCACCCTTCAAAAGCTTGAGAATACAGCTTTGATCTCTTATACAACTTGCATAATGTGCAGTCCCCAGTTTCTAGTGCTTCGGTTACCTGGTCCTTTGCATTCCTTGGATACAGAATTTACTTGTTCTCTATGACTATAGTAGTTGTAAAAACAGTTTCCATCTTTTCATAAAAAAACATTTTCATTTTTTGCTTCCATCTGTATTCTTCTCTTGTAATTGTGTACTATTTATTAATCTATCATCTAAATGGAATGTGCTAACTTTATGGTTCTATCTTGATGTAAATTGCAGATTTGAACTCTGCAATCGGTGGCAGCTTGCAAATCTAAATATGAGTTTGGCATGCCTTGTGTGCAGTGTAGAAAGTCCGTCACACTCTTTTAGGAGTTACTCTGTCTCGAGCACAGAAAATGATGGAAGATGTTCTGCTATTGCCAACTGCTTAACACGGAGGCCGTCTCTCCCATTGCCAAGACATTCCAACATTGCTTCTTCCAAAGTAACCCCGCAACCAACTCTTTCAAACAGCGGTTCCATACCAGGTACCCCAAGGCTAGTTCGAAGCCGGGCTGTGAGAAGGGATATCGTGAGGGACTGGAACTTTGACGAGGTTGTGATGGGGCATTAAGAGTTTTCCAGTTTGACTGGAGAATAGAAAGCTCTTTCCATGGTATAGTTGTAGGAGACAATCTTGCAGTCTATTTTTGTTAGATATGGCTACATTGAACACAGTTTTCCCTCTAGGAAAGTTTGTCCATTTGTAACCATCGAAAATCGTCGCGTTTGTTTATAATGTCCTTCGCACATCAGTCGTATTGAAAACCATTTAGTTATGAAACTCCAATCAAACATACTAACAAATGATGTGTTTCCGACATGGAAATGTTGGTGATAAAAACCACATGATTTGAGGGATTTCTGTTTTGGACTATACTTCAAAAGAGACCCGAAAGAATGTAAGGTACCAACAGTTTGGACATATTGCAGCTTCAAGGTGGGCCTCTAAAACTAGACGGTTACAATGTTCGGATTATCTTATACTTCGAAGCATTATAGATTTTTTGTTTTTAAATTTTAATTTTTGTGCTTCAGAAGTAAGATTAGTTTTTTAATGGGAGAGAAGGAAAGAAATGAAGGAAAATGCATGTAAGTAAAATACTGGAAGCAAAAGCAACTTAAAATTATGGGCAGGCAAGAAAGCAAAAGCAAAATATCTAAATCGTATTACTTGACCTGATATAAAACTATTTGGTTCTTACTTTTAATTTTTAAAATGATCCAAGTTGGACCCTTCATGTGTAAAAACAAGTCCAAAATTGAATCGTCATTTCTTATGTGTGGGTGACCTAGCCTAGACTATTAAGGGTTGGTGGTCTACAATGAAGCGCGTATTCATAATTTCATATCCATCTAACCCTAAAAAGAAGTAAAACAACGATTGTTGTATTGGCTTTGTTAGACATAATTTTTTTGTATAGAACACATAGAGATCCTTTTATATTGTTGTTTTGTTATAGGACATGACTGAAAACATATCTGTTTGACCCGTAGGAACTAGACCATATCAAACAAATCCAAATGAGTTGATTCCAATAAAAATGCATAATTCAGACTGGCTTAAACTCATTTACCCAAAAAAAAAAAAAAAAAAAAAACAAGGTGAGTCCAGATCCACCAAAAATGGACCTGGCTCGACCCAAGGCCACCCCTAAAACCATTCTTGTTTTTATATTTTGTCTGTGCATTTCTTCTACAGCATTCTACCCCTCTATAGCATTCCTCGTTTCTCCCTTATTTTTTTTCTTCTATATCTAATTCAAAAACTAAAAAGTCATTCAGTACTACGATTTTATGGTATTCTTCTTCACTTAAAAAGTAAGAGGTCTTAGATTCGAATCTTGTGGATGGCAAATTTGATACCAAATTAAATTGTCCATTGCATGGTTTAACCGAATTCCCTCTCATTCTAGTAGAAAAATATCGATGTACTCCAGAAAAAAAAAAAATTTCAAAAACTGAAAAGTATTAGCTGCAAACAAAATTATGATCAAACAAGTCATAAATTGCGTGATACCGCACGTGCCCGGACGATAGTAGCATTGAGGCTAGCATTCAACCGCTAAATTGAGCCAGCCACGCGCCACGCGCCACCGAGGTTAGTATAGTCCAACAGCAAATTCAAAAGGAAGCTTCGGAAGTTCAGGATAAAATAATAATACGATATAATAGTCCTGGGATCCTCCAAAACATGCAATTATGGGCTCTAGCTGTAACGCAGATGTGCCTCGGTGAACATGTCCCCATAACGCGCTTAATTTAGATTCCGGATCCTCGACGGATCCACTTTGTGAAGATCTCGAAAATTTATGGATCGTATTCGTTAATCGTATATCGTACGGTTAGAAATCATTTTAAATATTTTTATTTAAAAATAAACATAAAAGTACTTGACAAAAACTGACTGCACGATGTACGATAAACTGACACGATTCACAAATCTTTAGGATCCTCATCAAAATGATTCGGAGAGGATCCTGTTGTCTTAATTTATACCAATTATTCAACAAACTTTACAAAACTAATACTTTTAAGTATAAATAAACAGGGTTTAGGTTTATTCTTCACTTGTAAGTGAAAGATTTTAAGTTTGATTCTCATCAGAGGCGATTTTTTTTTTTTTTGAACAAATGATATTATCTACACCAAAGGAGAGGGGGTAGGCTTAGCCTCACAATGAGCTAGCAATAATGTGGTTCAAATTTGCTTTTAACGAGAATCGAACCTAAAACCTCTCATTTACAAGTGAAGAGGAATACCACTAGTCGCCAAAGACGAATTTGAACAATATTATTGGTAATCCATTGTAAGGCTTTGCCCACTCTTCCACCTTTTTAGAATAGACAATATCGAGAGAACATTCATGAAAAAGACTTGAGTTAAATTTATTTTAACAAAAAAAATCATGCTATAACTTTATTTAATAAAAAAAAACTTAAATTTTAATGAAAAGCCCTTAAACTTTAATAAAAAGGACAAAAAAAACCCTAAATTTTAATGAAAAATACATAATTTTAATATTAAAAAAAAACTGACGCGTAGGAAGCGCGTGTTGTCACACATACTGTTTATGAAACATACTATATTGTTTATAAAATTTAACGGTATTACATTGTTTATGAAATTTACTACATTGTTTGTGAAACTTACTACACTATTTATAAAACTTAACGGTATTACATTGTTTATGAAATTTAACGGTACTATGTTATTCATGAAATTTACTAGATTGTTTATAAAACTTAACGGTGTTACATTGTTTATGGAACTTAACGGTACTACATTGCTTATGAAACTTAATTGGGCACTCATGTTTATATTTTATGTTTTTTTGTCCTTATCATGAAATAAAATTATTAGATGATTTTTGGTTAAAATGCAAAATTTTAAAATCATTTTCATTAAGTTTTTATTGTTAAAAAGATTAAGATCAATTTAAAATGACAATAAAAATTGAAAGATTTTAGATGCTTAATCTAATAAACAACATAAAAAATGCCTGTGTGTCTAAGTGCGGGTTTGATTTTCATCGATTTCCTTATGCGACCAAACCAAAGATAGAGAAGGAAAGCAAAAGGCATGGCACTGAAGGGCACCGCCACAACGACACCTTCTTCCTCCGTATGCTCTGTTCCCACTCTCTTCTTCGCATTCACTCTCCTCTGCGCTCTTTCTCTTTCTCTCTTCTTCCTCTCCAATCCTTCTCCTTCTTCCTCTCCTTCTCCTTCTTGCTCGTCTTTCATTTCCCTAAACGCCCCTCTCTCTCCCCATAATTCCCTCAAAGTCTACCTAGCAGACCTCCCCAGATCCCTCAACTATGGCCTCCTCGAAAAGTACTGGGCTTCCGGCCCCGATTCCCGCCTCCAAACGGACACCGACCACCAAATCCCAGACGCCCATTTGCCCAAAAACCTTGAATTCCCACCCTATCCAGATAATCCATTGATCAAACAGTACAGCGCCGAGTACTGGATTTTGGGGGACCTGATGACCCCCCAGGAGCACAGAACTGGGTCGTTTGCCACCAGGGTTCTCGATGCCGACGAAGCCGACGTTGTTTTCGTGCCCTTCTTCGCGACCTTGAGCGCAGAATTGCAGCTGGCTACGGCTAAAGGGGTGTTTAGGAAGAAGGCTGGGAATGAGGACTATGAGAGGCAGAGGCAAGTGATGGACTTTGTGAAGAACACTCAGGCTTGGAAAAGGTCAGGTGGAAGAGACCATGTGTTTGTGCTTACAGGTATGTTGGGTTTTTATTTAATTTTGTTTTTTTGGGATTTAATTGGTGTTATTTTAAATTCGATTTGTGCTAATGCTTATTGAGTAATTTCTGGGATTGTTCACTGGATTTGATGATTAGGTGGTGGCTTTGATGTGATTACTGTGATTATTTATGTGGGTCTGTAGATTTAAATGTGTTCTAGTATTTGCAATGAATCCATCTGCATTCTCCATTTGATCCTTGGAATTTAGAAAGTTTGGTCCTTTTATTAAGCTGTTGTGACTTTTGAAGTTTTATTTTCTTGGATACCATTTGATCAGTTGGAGCAAACTGGGAGCCCCATTAAAATGTTGGAGCACAATGTAAATGTAGTATGTGCTATAGCAGCTTATGATTTAGTCTCTGGGTTTGTAGGTTGTGTTAAAACTTGAAGCATTTTTGGCAGACCCAGTGGCAATGTGGCACCTTCGAGCAGAGATTGCCCCGGCGGTTCTTCTAGTTGTGGATTTTGGAGGGTGGTACAGACTCGAATCGAAGTCATCAAATGGCAACTCATCAGATGTGATTCAGCACACACAGGTGTCACTACTCAAAGATGTCATTGTGCCCTACACCCATCTACTTCCTCGATTGCAACTGACAGAAAACAAGAAGCGTCATACTCTACTTTATTTCAAAGGAGCTAAACATAGGCACCGGGTCAGTACGCAAGATTTGAATCTTACTTCTCCCATTGTATCTGACACATGATATGATTTTCATTGCCTTTATTTTTTGATTGCTCGTAATTTATCACATTGTAAATTGCACTTTCTTCTCCGGTTTCATCATTGAACTGACGTTGTTTAAACTGCAATTAGTCTTAAAATAGTTTGTTTAAACTGCATTGCATACATCTCATGTCATTCATTGCATGGGTTGTTGTTGTAAAGTTGAACAATCATTATAATTACTTCATATGAAAAGGGATACTACGTTTGTGACGTAATCCAGGTTTGGTATAAACCTAATTTATGTTTGTTGTGTAATTATGTTTGTAACATAACTGAGTTTGCTGATAACAGGGGGGCTTAGTTCGAGAAAAATTGTGGGACTTGTTGGTTAATGAGCCCGATGTTATCATGGAAGAAGGCTTCCCTAACGCCACTGGGAGGGAGCAGTCCTTAAAAGGGATGAGAACTTCAGAGTTTTGCTTGCATCCAGCTGGGGACACTCCCACTTCATGTCGGCTGTTTGATGCAATTCAAAGTCTCTGTATACCCGTTATTGTCAGTGACAACATAGAACTTCCTTTTGAAGGAATGGTAGATTATTCCGAGTTTTCAGTTTTTGTGGCAGTTGATGATGCATTGAAAACGAACTGGATTGTGAGCCATCTTAGGACCTTTACTAGAGAGCAGAGGACTAGATTTCGTCAGAAAATGGCACAGTTTCAGCCCATGTTTGAGTATGACAATGGTCATTCTGGTGGCATAGGGCCAATTCCTCCCGACGGTGCAGTGAACCACATGTGGAAAAAGGTTCATCAAAAGTTGCCAATGATTAAGGAATCAATCGTTCGTGAAAGGAGAAAACCTCCCGGTGTTTCAGTTCCACGCCGTTGCCACTGTACGTGACTTTTACAGGCCTATACTTATACGTAGTTGTATCTCTTGTTGTGCAATAGCTTTTGTCATAACTTTTTCATTTTATTCTTTGTGAGAACGGTAAATTGGTTACAAATTTATTCACACACAAATTATATTCCTTTCGTTCCCTGTTAAGCTGCCTTTACTTTTATAAAGTTTGTCAACATCTAGGGTACTAAAAAAGTATCCCTCAGCAGCAAGAAAGGTAGCCAATTCCCCTTCTCTTAGAAGGAAACAACACAAACAAAACACTAACTACAAACCCTACCACAAGAGGAAGACTGTTGGTCACCCTCCTAGGCATTGCCGGATAATAACAACCCACAACATCATTATGCGACGCTGCAAACGTTAGAAACGCGATTGCCGAAAGCGATGCATGGAAGAGATCAGCCCATCTCAACCTATAATCGGCGGGCATGATTGGCCTTTTCTGGCCGCCATTGAAAGTCCATATTCCCCGAAATGTGGCCACTCCGTAGTATAACCTGCCAGTCGCTGTTTTGAAGCTATCGGTGAATGTAAAGAAAATGCAGGATGCTGCTGAAAGAGCGATGAGGAAATCCATCAGCCAGCGGTTGAAAGGGGTGCATACGCCGTCGTTGGTGAAGAGAGGAGTGAAAATGGTGAAGGCAAGAATGGGGGCTGTGGGCAGGAGAGCATTGAGACGTACAGTGCCACTTAGTATTGCATTCATAGCAAACATGAACTTGGATTCGTTATGTTGATCGTCATCATGTTCTTCGGTGCTTTCAATGAGGTCTTGGATGATGGAGTTGTTTTCCATCGTTTCTCAAGGAGGCAATTTAGATGGAAGGGAGTTTATAACAACTGCCCTGCAGAAAGGGAGGATTCTTTGTTCAAGTGAGGGAGACAAGCAATTCTCTGTTTGTTAAGTATTGAATTTCTTGTTGGAAGGTTTTCTTCGTCGACTCCGTTTGGAACTGCTTCTCTAAAAAGCATTTTTGCTCAGAATCACTTTCAATAAAAGTGTTTTTATTTGGAGTACATCGAAAATTTTAAGATAAATTCAAGTGCTTTGCTGTATTAAGGAAATACACAGTATATGCTTATTCCAAAAAGCACTTCAACGGCTCTTTTTTTTTTTTTTCAACCCAAAAGCACTTGCCAAGCATTATCATAAGCACTTTTGATGAAATAAAAGTGCTTTTAAATATATTAGCGCAAAAATACTTTTAGTTACTGTATTAAAAAAAGTTGTTAGTGTTTATGAGTTGTAAAAGCATTTTCAAATGTTTTTTTTTCTTTCTAAACAAGTACCTACTTAAAACACAAACGAGACTCTCTCTCTAAAATTTCTTGTTCTCTCTCCCTCTTCTCTCCCTCGCCAAGGTTTTTACCCACAAACTCTTCCCAGCCGCCAGCCCCACCTCTAAATTGGGGTTGGTGGCAACCCTTTTTAGCAACTCTCGGCTTTCCTTACATTTTTTTTGTTTTGTTGTGCTTATGATCCTTGTCTGGTGGTTCTGTATATGAGCTCAGCCTCTGTTTCCTTGAGTTCTATCTCAGTTTCTTTGGGCTCTGTCTCAGTTTCTCTGGGGCTTTGTCTCAGTTTAGGACGATTCTCGTCTCAGGTTCGGGATTCATGCTTTCTTCCACTCCAATGATTGTTCCTAGTCGCGAGTTACCATCCACCAGCCTTAGCCACTCGACTCATCTTGTGTTTCCTCCATGGATCTCATTGGGAGACATGCTTTGGATTGGGTGGCTCTTAAAATGATTTTAGCACTACTTGGTAAGATTATAGGAGCGCTCACAACGCAGGTGGTTTTCCACCTCCAATTTCCGTTTCATCCAATTGGTTTGTCAGGTCTTCTTCTCAATGGCGGCGGCTTCGCGATGTGGTTTGGCTGCTTGGGTGGTGGTGGCCAGCCCCTCTTAAATGCGATCCCAGCAAAAGTTCTTTGGATGCTCGTAGATTGAGTAGATTAGTGAGTGCACAAAGAAGTCACCAACTAACCATGCACAACTAGATATCCAAAATTGACCAACACCCATATTTTATTGGATTAGCAATTTAGCAGTACGTAAAGACCAAAACAAGCCCAAATATAATCTACTTAATATACCAAATACAGGGTTTTAACCAAATTAGCTTCAAGCCGAACTGAAGAAAAGCCGAAAGAAAAAGAAAACGGAAAACACAAAAACAAAACTCGAGTAAGAGCAATAAATTGTGTAAGATTTTTCATTAGCTTGTATTTTGCGCACTTCAGGCACCGGAAATCCGCGAGTAGCATTTACAGATGTACTAGAAACAATGTTGTCAACGACAATAATGGCTACGATTCACTGATTCCAATTTACTCACAGCTTTTCGTCCACTGCAACTCTATACCTCCTAAATAGGCCTTCCAAAAAAAAAAAATTATACTTCTAGCTGAATATTGTGGTCTGAAACTATCCCCAGAAATTTGCCAAAAATCACACAATAACAGGGCAGAACCGGACGATGAACTATTTACAGTAATAGCAGCATTGATATATGTCGATGGAAAAAAGAAAAATGATGATACCAGATAAAAGGCTGGCTTAGGCTGACTAACTGTTTAATCCGCCTTTCCTATGGGATTTTGAATCAGAACAATCATCATTTCCAACAGCACATTGGTGACAAGGGTCAGAGGATTCTGGTGAGCACCAATCATCAGGGACGCTCAAGAAATGCTCAGACATGAACTTTCTGAATCTCCTCTTGTACTCTTTTGGAGAGATGACAGTCGGCAAGACATTTTTTGGCACAAGTGAAGACTTCACCCATGTCTCTAGTTGCTTGTCCCATGTATACTGCCTAAGATAATCAATAATGCCACATACAAGCTCACGGCGTTCAGTATCTACTCCCACAAGCAATGAATAATCCATGACATTGATTGACTGAAAATTTAAGAACAAAACCATATCAGTTTATTGGCAGAGGTTATCATAGAACGGAAGATACCCCTTCTAGATAGGGTAGGACCAGTAATATCCTCTGCCGTTATTAAAGGAATTTCATAAGATCTGGAACTACATACAAATGGAGTGAAATATGTGCAACTCACATTGAGGAAAGTCGTGTCATTCCACACAGCCCGCTGCAATATACGCTTTGCTTTGTTACTAACATACAGTGGGGATGAGTTCATGTCATTGACGAAGTTCTGATCCAAAAGAACATCTCCCGAACCATCAGTAGCAGAATTGAATCGAGCATGTAGAGCACCTTTCAGATCATACTGGCGAGTGATGTTCCGACCAAAGGTAAGATTCTCCATGACCATCAGATCATGCCTCATCTCTTTCCCACTCTTTGTCTGTCTCACAATCACCTACAAAGAAAAATTTTAGTATGCAGAAAGAAACAATCCGCCAATGGAAAGAAAATCAAATGCTACAAACCTGATAAATCCCAAGAACTTTCGCAAGGCATGTTTGATTCCCATTGTCAAAAGAAAGCTTTACGTGCTTGAAATACTCATCAGAAAACTTCATAAACGACTCAAATTCTGTCTTCTTGATTTCTTTAATTATCAACCTGTCATCAAGTGTTTTGGCAAAAAAGGATTTGCTCTTCCCACCTTTAGCATCCCAGTTTCTGCAACGGCTAAGGGAAGCAATATAATCAACTTCAGATTGGAAGCATCGATTGCGGAGATCACGAAATTGATTGGCATATGGACATATTACAGTATATTTATCCTTGCCAAGTGATTTTGAAACTCCTAGAGGGACTACTGGGTTGACAGTTCCGGGCGGAACCAGAGAATCCAACAAATTCAACCCATCAAAACGGGAGAAGCGCGACTCATCTGAAGAAATGCTTGCCATATTATGGACAGAGTCTAAATCTAATGAACCATTTGAAGACCAATGCAGGGTAGTATTAGTGGGAAGTCGAGTCAGACCGTGTAAATGCTCAAATGTTCTCGCAGCAACTCCACTCTCTCCCTTGCTATCGTCAGCAAGAACCTCTGTTTGTAAAGGTAGATCTTTCAATATGGCCAGTGCACAAGCAATCATACTCGACAGTTCTCCTTCATAGTCTGACACAATATGATTATCAGTTCCAAGAGGAATGTGCAGCATTTTCCCTTCTTCCGTGATCAGCTGATACGCTGTGGGTAAATGCTCTGCAGTATAGCTACTAATTGTTTCAAACTTTGAAAAGAACACTCTCTGTAGATCTCTCACACCAACTTGACGAATTTCGGAGAACGGTGCCCAAAACCAGTCATGTGAACCTTCCAAGTCGAATGATTGTGAACGGTAATAAGTACCTTTCATTGATAGATTTGAATCAGAAAAAGCACCACAATCCACATTTTCTGCTAGCTGATCATTCTCACAATGATCATAGCTGGATCCATTTCTCAGATTGGACCCCTGCCTGTCCAACCGTTTTGGGGTTGAACCATCCACATTCGGTGTTTTGAAAGCCTCAGCCAAATCAGACACATCAACTGGATCAGCTCCATTAGATTCTTGAACAGGACCTTCAATTGGAATGTCTTCTATTGGAGATCCATCAGTTTCTGCAGCTGTATCCAATTTGACTTCTAAATTGATACCAATATCTGAATCAACTTTTTCTGGCTCTACCTTCTCAGAAGCTCTAGAATGGATCATCATAGGATCTAGTGACAGTAATGAATGCAAGCGCCGTTCCCAAATGCATGCTTCAAGGAGCAGTTCCCACAGTACTCTGTTCAAGCTAAGTAGTTTGTAGGCAGCCTGGTCCGAGTTCTCAGTCTTGGTAACAGCATTCTTGAGCACTACCTGTTTTTGTAATTAGGATCCGGTGAAAAGGATAAAAAGCAAATTTCCTACAATTGAATTTACTACTGAGAACAAACAAAATTCGGGAACTATAGATTTATAAGCAGACAAAGCTCACATCCTTCATAACATCATTCTTAAATGTTTAAAAAGGAAATCTTAAAAGTTCAGTTTAAAACAAATAACAAAATGAATTCAATGCATCTGAAAAGTAATAATTTTTTAAAAGGACAACAAATCTGTACAAGAATGTCATACTACATACAAATGAGAAGATCCAGACCAAATGTCCGAACACAAACAAATTAGGCAATTATTATGGAAATAATAAAGAACACTCGAGCAATACAACCTTTTTCACTGATCACAAAAACCACTACAGAAGTATGGGCAATGTTAGCAACATACTGTAACAAATGCATTCACATTCAAACAAAGACTACCAAGCAATCCTTTCTGCAATACAACATTAACAAAGCCTTTATGCAATACATGCCACAAAATTAACAGGACAAAAAAATGTATAGAGAAAGGTGACCTCGAACTCAGATTTTTCTTGCTTTAGCATCTCTTCGATGTCAGAGAATTCTTTAAATGAGCCTCGAAGTTTCAAAGTCAACCCATCAAACTGAGATCTCATCTTCTCTAAAGAGTTTGCAACCTCTTTGAACAAGTAAATCAATTTCATGTACACCTGGATTGAAACAAAAAGGTCACATCCAGTGCAAGGAAATAGGAAAAGGTTAGGTAAGAGAAGGCTAATGTTTCTGCCATAGGCATATGACATAATGATGAATCATCAGAAATCAAAGAAGTACGCAAAAATCAGAAAATAAATATACATTCTGAGTTTCTTTCATAAGCCAGTCTTGTCTAATTGAACTGCTGAATGGAAGCTTCAGAGGAGGCACAGAAACAGTATAAGTCGTGACAGGGGAATACTTGAACAGAGCAACCATAGGGCCTAATCTGCAGAGCGTCCAAAAATAACATAATAAGGATAAAAAA